AAAAAAAAAAAAAATAGAGGACGTACTTATTCCCTGAGGACAGAGACTCCAAGCAGTGGAGACTTTCCTGTGCTGCTGGCTTTGATAAAGCAAACTGCCACGGGTTCTCCAGCTGCCAACACTCGAGAGCACTTAGAAGCAAATTCTTTCCTAGTGAGTCTCCAGGTGAGAATGAAGCCCAGCTGACATCATGATTTCAGCCTTGTGAGACCCAGGCACAGAAACCGGCTAAGCCATGCCCAGACTCTGTCTTACAGAAACTGTGAGATTGGGGCGCCTGGGTGGCGCAGTCGGTTAAACGTCCGACTTCAGCCAGGTCACGATCTCGCGGTCCGTGAGTTCGAGCCCCGCGTCAGGCTCTGGGCTGATGGCTCAGAGCCTGGAGCCTGTTTCCGATTCTGTGTCTCCCTCTCTCTCTGCCCCTCCCCCGTTCATGCTCTGTCTCTCTCTGTCGCAAAAATAAATAAACGTTGAAAAAAAAATTAAAAAAAAAAGAAACTGTGAGATTAATACATGGGTATTGTTTTATGCCACTAAGTTTGTGGTAATTTTGTTATGCAGAAATGGAAAACTAACATAGAGGCTACAGTATACTTGGTGTTTTCTAAGTGCTTTGCATATGTTAAGCTTATTCAATTTTCTCAACTTTATGAGGTAGGTACTTAAAACAATTCCCTTTTTGGAACGAAGTAGCTCATTATGTGCTTAAAAAAAGCAAGGTACAGAACAGGATGGATAGAATGGTAGTAGCATTTGCACCAAAAAGGGGGAAATACAGTGAAGTATATGCACCTATTTGCGTAAAACTTTTGTGGAAAGCTACATGAGTAATTAGCAACATTGGTTTCCTATGGAAAGGGACTAGGTTCTGAAAGAAGTAGGAGAGACTTCACACCCTCTCATACTTTAAAGCATATGAATGCATCCCTTACCCAAAAAATTATTTTTTTCAAAAAGAAAGGGAAAGAAGGTATAGAAGAGCATGCTCAGAAGCTGTCATTGTCATTAGCAAGAGTAAAACTAGTATCTCAGTAATCATCCAGAAAGCCAATACAGAGATTTTAGAAGGGTCCCTATGTTTCAATCTAGAGGAATTATAGACTTCCACATGCTGATCAAAGAAAGCTATTAGGTAAGTAAATAGTTACAAGATTCACACATACATAGTCAAACAGAAGCACCACTAATAGTACTTCTGAAGTAAACAAAATCACTAATAAGATGGATAGTAACAACATTCCCATAACATTTGCAAGGCAATTTTCATGTGTCTTTTTCAGGTAATAGATGCTACTTATGATCACACATACCTTGAAACTTCAAGGTCACACAGCTAAGGTTTTTTTTTTTTTTTTTTTTTTTTTTTTTTTTTTTTTTTTTTTTTTTTTTTTTGACATGCCCATTGAAAAGCAGCAGTATGGAAAGATAATGAACACCAACCAACAAAACCACCACTACCAGATTCAATTCATAGAACTCCAAGGATCTTAAGAGATTAATTAGTCCAACCCATGTCTTTATGAATAAAGACAGTATTACAAGGCAACTCCATTGCCTATTCAGATGCATCAAAAAATATGAAAGTGTCATTCCTTCCATTACACTTAAGATAAAACAACAATTCTTCCATGGAATCTTCTTTTTCCAAAGTGCTTATGCTGTTACTGACGAGATACTTCTTGAGTGTATCCCAAGTATGTATAAGAAAGACCCTGTTTAACACACACACACACACACACACACCACAAAACAAACAACAACAACAACAAAACAAGGGAGGCTCCCGGGGGCGGGGGGGAGCTCAACT